CAGTAGTACATTGAACATTTTGATTGTTACCACCATCACAAGGAACTACTCCATTAGGACCAATCCATTGTCCACCATTCAGAGTAGCACCAGGTAATGTACACTCTAAATGTAAAGAAGTTGATGTTGATCTGATACTGCTGTCTGGAAAATATGATCCATTAGTATAACAGTTTCCATTTTGCCTCAAGTAGATACCTATAAAACCTATACAGTTGTTATTATACACATCCAGTGTCTTACCTGAGGTAGGTGGACATTGACTTATAACTTCACTGACACTCAACAAGAAGACAATAGTAAGCAGCACTGGGTGCATTCTACACTTGCTCAGTCTCTCTCACAACTAATGATCACTATTAAGTCACACACATCATTTATAAAGGCAGCCTACTATACAAATAATTGAATTTGGATAACTACATGTACAAGTACAGCATAATTATACCTATACCATACATGTACATGTATGTACTATTTATGCACAACATCACATGTACAATAATTATTGATCACAACATCCCACATCTCATATTAAAGAAAAAAACATTATTGTTTATACATTGTAGATGTATATGTATGTATATCTTAGTTAGAATCTACTGCTAATTGTTGCTGTTGTTGTTCCTGTGGGTGTTGTCTAACTACAATGATTCTTTCTTTAGGACGAGGTAGAGGTAGTTCTTTGACTTTAGTTGACATTTCCTCCATCATTCCTGGTATCTGTGTGAAATAATTCCTTGCTAATATGTGCCTTTGTCTTATCTTATCTGTAAACTGTGAACTGTAAGCCTGTGGAGGAATAATGTTAAATGTAAATGCAATTATAATTAAAGTAAGGTACATTAATGTGCTTTTAAAATAACATATATTGACAAGTGAAAAAGCAAAACTGATAAAGCAGTAACATGAAAGCAGATAGCAAGAACATTATAATAATAATAGTAATATTATCTTACCTTTTCTGGGTCATCCAGTTTAACATGAGCCCTAGCTTCATCAGTTGTCAATAATATACAGTTCCATGGGCTCCAGTGTTCAGTGATATTCCAATGAACTAGTATCAACTCAAATAGATCCTTCTCACCACTCACAGCACTCTGACCAGCCCATATGTTCTCTATCAAATAACGTAGATCACTCTCCTATGAAGAAAAAATAATGTGTAAGGCACATGTGCAAACAGGGATGTAATAGCATGCAAATTGCAAAATTGTTTCTACAAAAATACGTTGACATGAAAATGAGAAAACCGTTGGATAAACAATCTAAATGTAGGTTTTACTAAAAATAATTTATTTAACTAATGTGTTATGCATTATCTTTGTACCCCTCATTACTATTCATTACTAGTATGATAAAGATAATGTGGGAATCATCTTGATAGTTTTCCTCTGTTTTACGTATTGTCTTAAGCATAGCACGATATAATGTA